GGCCTGCTGTGTTCATCCAGCTCTACACCTTGTTATCTCAGATTCTCCAGCATCTGCAGTTCCTACTATCTCTGAGAGAGAATAGCAGTTGGGCAGACAAAGTAATGAATAATGATCAGCCTGAAAAAATCAATAGCTGCTAATGGGGATCATTCGTAGCTGAAAATGGATTGGTTGTGATAGCAGCCCATGTGATGACAGGGCCTCATTTGTTGGGTGGGGGGAGGACATGGAAGAAGGTGCTTAGGCCGTAAGATTATTGAACTCCATATTGAGTCCTGAAGGCTGCATGGTCCACAAGTAGAAAATGAAATGCTGTTCTTCCAGCTAGTGCCAAGCTGTAACAGAGATATTGGCTAGAGAACATAATAGCGTGTACGAAGAGGCAAGCAACAGGAAGCTCAGGGTCATTTTTGCAGACAGAAGGTAGTGTTCTACAATGTGAATGCCCAATCTGAGTTCTGTTTCCCCACTTTAGAGCAGACCACATTGTGAGCAGCGAATATAGTAGACTCAATTGAATGAAGCACTGCTTCACCTGGATGGTGTATCTGGGTCCTTGGATAGTAAGGAGGAAGGAGGTAAATGGGCAGGTGTTACACCTTCTGCAATTGCAAGGGATGGTGGCAAGTGGGTGTGCAGAGATGTTGGGAGTAGAGGACGAGTAGACCAAGGTGTCCTGGAGGAAACAGCCCCTGAAGAAGGCTGACAAGGAGGGGAGGGGCATGTGTTTCTCATGGTGACACCCCGCTGGAGGTGGCAGATATGGTGGCTTATAATCCTTTGGATGTGGATAGTGGTGCAGTGGTAAGTGAGGACCAGGGGACCATATCGGTGTGTAAGAGGAAAAAGATGGGGTGAGGTCAGAAGCACGGGAGATGGGTCAGACACAATTAAGGGCATCGTCTGTTGAGGAGAAAGATGGACATTTTGGAGGCTCCCTTATGGAACAGATGCAGCAGAGATGGAGAAACTGCAAGAATGGAATGGAGTCTTTACAAGAAGCAGGGTGTGAGGATGTAAAGTCTGGGTAATTGTGGGAGTCGGTGCATTTGTGGTGTGAAGGGAATGCAGAGGATATTCACCAGAATGTTGCCTGGGATGGAGCAGTTTAGCTATAAGGACTATTATAATTGTAAATTCAGATTGTTTCCTTCAGAGCAGAGAAGGTGCATACTTGCAAGTTGCATACTTGCCCTAAAAACCTTGAATTCTTGTGTTCCTTTCCCTGTGTTGATTGCACTCTCTGTTTGAAGTGACATTTGATTGCTCCTTTGTTTGATCTGCTACTTGTCTTTTATCTTTGGCCTCTAACCTCTTGGCATTATTCTGAAATCGCTCATCTTCTCCCTCTTGTTTACATTGCAAACAAGGTTGCCCTTGATATTAAATTACAAACCAAAATATCTACGTTACTGCTGTTAAAAAAAGTGCAGCCGTCTGTCATCTGACTTAAGAATAGACGTTAAGAATGTTGCTCTCTTGCTTGATTATTAGTTGCTGATGTGGTTTTTGTTTTCTCTCTAGGAAGGAGCTGGGGTTGCTGCAGAAATTGTACGGTTTATATGATGCAGTGATGACTAATATTAATGGTTACTATGATGTGCTGTGGTCTGAGCTAGACATTGAGAAGATTAATGCTGAGCTTTTGGACTTTCAGAACAGGTAACTGAACTTAACTAGTTTACATGTGTCTAAATTAACCACTGAATATAACATATGTTTAAATGCACAGTAAGAAGTGCATACCAATTAACTTAGCAGATGGAAGCTTTTACCATACTTGCACCAGTAAGATGAGGGAAGAACGAGTGCCCTTGACAACAATATAGGAACAAACTCATAGCAGTAGGCTATTCAGCCCATCAAACCTGCTTCAGCACTTAATACGATCATTTCAATACCTTTTATCTGTATTTTCCTATAAGCATTGACGCTGTTCTTAATGAAAAAATGATCAGCCTATACTTTGAATACACTCAAAGTCGAACTTCCACTACCCTCTGGGGTAGTGAGTTCCAAAGATTCACAGCACTCTTAAGTAAAACAGATCCTCCTTATATCAGTCTGAGTGGCATCCCCCTAATTTTTAAATTTATGTCCTTTGGTCTAGATTCCCCAACCAGGGGAAACAATTTATCTGCATCTACCCTGCCTATTCCTTGCATGTTTCACTGAGATCATCTCCCAATCTTTGAAAATCTACAGAATACAAGCCCAGTTTACCCAAATGTTTCTTCATCAAATAGTCCTGCCATCCCAGGAACAATTCTGACGAACTTATGTTGCTCTCCCTCTATAGCAAAATTACCTATCCTAAGTATGTAGACCAAAATTGCACACAATATGATGCTGTCTATTCAAGCTCCTATACAAATGAAACCAGATTTCACTACTCCTGTACACAAATCCTCTTGTATAATGATTAACATTCTACTAGCCTTCCTAATAGCTTCTTGCACCTGCATGTTAGACTTGTGTCTTATTAATAAAGACACCCAAGTCATTTTGTACATTAATGCTTTACAACCTCACATCATTTATGAAATACTCTGCACATCTGCTCTTCCTACATCAGGGCAGTCTTTGAGTTTGGCATTAAGAAGCTTTATCAATAATCAGAGTTAATGGAAATCAGGATAGAACTCTCCACTAGTGCTAGCACAAAAACAGATGATTTTGGTTGTTGGAGGCCCACTAACAACACAGCCATGGGACTGAAGAGTTTCATAAGGTAGTATCCTAGACTCAGACTTCAACTGCTTCATAAATTATTTTCCCTCCAAAATAAACTCAGAAGAGGGATTTTTGCTAATATTCAGTCATATCTATTCATATGCTGATGTTCTAATGTCTCCTGATTTGCTGGGATCTTTGATGGAAGTAACAGATACATAAAGTACATCCTAATCAAATATAGGCAGATACATACAAAGAATATGCAAGCAATTAGGTTGTATTATCCAATACATTCACCTAACAGAAGTCCGCCCAATCTATGATACTGCCCCTTGCTCCCCACCATCTCCCCAAAAATTAGTTTAGCATGATCACAGGATGAGGGCATTGCTGGCTAGGCCAGCATTTATTGCCCATTCCTAATTGACCGGGGGCAGTAAAGAGTCAACCACATTGCTGTGGGTCTGACCAGGTAAAGATGGCAGTTTCCTTTCCTAAAGGACTAGTGACCCAGGTGGATTTTTTCGACAATCAACAATGAATTTGTGGTCATCATTAGACTCTTATTTCTAGATTTTTATTGAATTTAAATTCCACCATCTGCCATGGCAGGATTCAAACCCAGATCCCCACAACCTTACCTGTCCAGAGATAATACCACTAGGCCATTGCCTCTCCTAAGGACAGCCTATCCAGCCTGTCCTTATAGGTCAAAACCTTCAGTCCTGGTAACATCCTTGTAAATCTCTTCTGCACCCTCCCCAATTTAATCCTTCCTATAGTAGGGTGACCAGAACTGTACTCAGTACTCCAAAAGTGGTCTTACCAATGCCCTGTACAACTGCAACATGACTTCGCAATTCTTATACTCAATGGTCTGAGCAATTAATGCAATTGTGCCAAATGCCTTCCTTACCACTCTGTCTACCTGTGATGCAACTTTCAAGGAACTATGTACCTTAACTCCTAGATCTCTCTGTTTGACAATACTCCCCTGGGCCATACCATTAACTGTGTAAGTTTTTCCCTTGTTTGTCTTACAAAATTCAACAGCTCGCATTTATCTAAATTAACCTCCATCTGCCACTCCTTGGCCCATTTGCCCAATTGATCAAGATTTTTTTGTAACCTTAGATAACCTTCTTCACTGGGTACCTCCAATTTTGGTGTCATCCACAAACTTAGTAACCATGCTTCCTAAATTCTCATCCAAATTGTTTATATAAATGACAACAGTGGACCTAGCACTAATCCCTACAGAACCCCACTGGTCACAGGCTTCCAGTCCAAAAGCAACCATCCACCAACACCCTCTATATCCTACCATCAAGCTAATTTTGCATCCAGTTGGAAAGCTCTCCCTGAATCCCATGTGATCTTAACTTTACTATCCAGTCTACCATGTGGAACCTTGTTAAAGGCCTTACTAAAGTCCATGTAAACAACATCTACAGCTCTGCCCGCATCTATCTTCTTGGTCACATCTTCAAAAAACTCAACCAATTTTATGAGACATGATTTCCCATGTACAATGACATGGTGACTATCCCTAATCAGTCCTTGCCTGTCCAAATGTGTGTAAATCCTGTCTCTCAGAATCCCCTCTAACAACTTATCCACAATGACATAAGACTCACTGCTGTATAGTTCCCATGTTTCTCCTTGCAACTTTTATTAAATAAAGGTTAGAATACTGTGAACAATTTTGAGCCACTGATCTCAGGATAGATATACTGGCACTGGGGGCAATCCAAAGCTCTGGAAGGGTTGTCTTATGAGGAGAGGTTAAGTAGATTGGGCCTGTACTCATTGGGACATAGAAGAGTGAGAGGTGATCTTATTGAAACATGCAAGATTCTAGAGCACTTGACAAGGTAGATGTGAAATGTTTATTTCCCCTTGTGGAAGAGTCAATGACCTGAGGGGATAATCTCAGAACACTGTGTGAACATTTAACACAGAGATGAGGATGAATTTCTTCTCTTAGAGAGCAGTGAATCTTTGGAATTCTTTATAAAGAACAATTTATAACTGTTGTCAGAAAAGTTAAAGACTTTAAATATCCATAAACTCTCCAGTGTGCCTGTCTTTCAGATCCAGGTTGACGGAAAGCATGGGGCAGGTTTCCGTATTAGACAAGAAATACTATTTGTCACTATTTAAATAAATAGAGTCTAACTACAGATAAAAAATTATGATCTGTTGACATATAACTTTACTAGTTTAACTCTAACCCATGCGTAAGTGTACTCTTAAGCCACATACATACAATTGTTGAGGCAAAAATTGACTTTCTTCAAGCTTAAGGTGATTTTCACCGCAGATAAAAGGCCCATCTCCTTTCGCCTTAGAGATCTGATGGCTTCTCCCCAAACATTTACACCCACATGTTGTTCATCTACCTGCTGACGGCCTTTCATTGATAACTGGTCACAGAACAATCAATTACCTGTTGCCAGCTGAAGTTCGATTCATAAGTACCTCTTGATTCCAGCTCCCTCTGTAGCTAGACTTACTTTCACTGCTTGAAATAGCAACTGTGTAAACAGCAATTGAAATGAGTATCAGGTAAATTGCTTTAAGAAAGTAATGTAATCCTTCAACAATCTTTGGCTTTAAAAACAGTCTTTTTCCTATTTCAGTGCACAATCAAAAATACAGAAAAAGAAAAAGACATGGTCATTACAATAAGGAGAGCCTTGCCGGGGAGGCAATGGCCTAGTGGTATTTTTGATGGACTGTTAATCCAGAGACCCGGATAATGTTCTGTGGACCCGAGTTCGAATCCCACCATGGCAGATGGTGGAATTTGAATTCAATAAACTATCTGGAATTAACAGTCTAATGGTGACTGTGAATCCATTGTCAATTGTTGGGAAAACCCATCTGGTTCACTAATGTCCTTTAGGGTAGGAAATTGCCATCCTGGCCTAGTCTACATGTGACTCCAGACCTACAGCAATGTGGTTGACTCTTAACTGCCCTCTGGGTAATTAGGGATGGGCAATAAATGCTGCCTAGCCAGCGATGCCCTCATCCCGTGAATGAATGAAGAAAAGAAAACTGGGCAGGTTTGTCATTGTTAGTTTCAGTGCTTAGAACAATGCTGAATGAGGCATGCAGTTTCATTCCGTTTTGACTTTTTCTTGTGTGAGACAACTGTGGCTTGCTAGGCAATTTCAGAGGGTATTTAACAATAATCCACTGTGCAACAGGTCATGTGTCATATGCAGGCGAGTGAGAATGGCAGACAAAGGGTATTAGTGAATCAGACGAGTTTTCATGACAATTGTTTGGTGGTCACCATTACTGAGATTAGTTGCTAATTCCAGACTTATTAATTGAATTTAAAATTCCACCTGCTGGAGTGGTGGGATTTCCCCTAGTATTACTGATCATGTGACCTTACCAGTATGGCATCATCTGTCCCTTCAATAAATCATGTCAAAGAAATTTTAAGGATGTATGATGTTGTTGGTTGTGCCATGTTTGCCATTTTTTTGATGAAGGAGTTTCATTTTAATTACCTGAGTTATTTTCCTATCTGACTATTTCTAGGTGCCGCAGGTTACCCAAAGGCTTGAAGGAATGGCAAGCATTTCTGGATCTGAAAAAGAAAATAGATGACTTTAGTGAATCATGTCCACTGCTTGAAATGATGTCCAGCAAGTCTATAAAACATAGACATTGGGACCGGATATCTGATGTAACAGGGCATACATTTAATGTGACATCAGAAACATTCACTCTTAAAAATGTTATGGATGCTCCACTGCTTCAATTTAAGGATGAAATTGAGGTACATTGAGCTATTGGTCAGTATTACTCAAATCTCACAACAGGAGAAATTGGTTTTGAGTGATGATAATGAATCAGTGGCAAGTTTTACATTTCATACATTTAATGTTCTATTGACTTCTACCTGAGACCCATGTCAACTCGGGTGGCCAAAAGTATTGTTTTATACTAGGTACATCTGTCTTTAGCAAGTTACTGTCTGATACCAGATGACCTCTGTTGTATAATGTTCTCAATATAACAATTTTAAAAGAGTTATTGTTGAAATTGCATAAGCTCTGCCCAATCTTATGATAGCATATTGGTGGGGACAATTGAGTTCTGCACTCTCCTTCATAGGGAGCCAATATATTCAGTACCTCCTGAGAGCCCTATTAATTATGCCTTACTTGTATATAGTTGTACTTCTTGCAATCATGCAATGAGCTATATTGTTAACTAAGGATAATGTGTCTTCAATAAAGACTATGGCGGTGCATCCTTACCCACTGATCATTAGATAGGCCTGAAACATGGTATAGACAAAGGAGGAATAGTGGAAGTGAACTACCTCAAGCAACTCTCACTCTGAACCACATACTGGCAGTGGTAGCAAATACTGCAAAGGCCAGTCATGACAATCAGGTAATACTACAGCCATATATCTGGTACTTTTCCCCTTAATACCCTTAGCTCACTGAAACACAGGTAGGGCCTGTGCTCACTCCTTGTCTGCATCTGCAGCTGTGACATAGGGACAGAAAGACACAGGAAACAGGATCTTTTTCATACATTACCCCATTTCCATTTCTGGAATCACAATGAATTTCTGACCATGATGACATCGCAATTCCATGTGATTTTGTCATGTCTAATCTTGGGTATAGGCCTAAACTTCTCACTCTTGCATCATAAGATAACCCCTCAGGAATCAGTCATGTGAACATTCTCTGAACAATTTCTACTGCAAATATATAGCTTCTTAGAAATACCAAAATTGTACACAGTATGATTTTAATGAAGTCTGGTATAGCTACAGCAACACTTTTTTAAATTCATTAATAGGATTGAGCATTGCTGGCTTGGTTAGCTTATCAGGTCATGGTAAGCTGCCTTCTTGCACCACTGCAGTCATTTAGTATAGATCACCCACAGTGCTGTTATGGCAGGTGTTCAGGAGTTTTACCAGCGACACCGAAGAAACTTCCATACTTTTACTTTTGATTCCTCTTGCAATTAACCTCAGCATCCATTTGCCTTCCTGATCACTTGCTGTATCTGATTCATATACTAGGGCAACCAGATGCCTTTGTGCGGTAGAGACCTGAAATCTATTTAGATAGTATTTCTATTTTTCTTGCCAAAGTGAAAAGTTTACATTTTTCTACATGCTACTTCATATGTCCATTTTTTGTCCACTCACCTAATCTAAACAAATCCCTGTGTAGATTTTTTATGTCCTCTTGACAATTTACTTTTCTCCCTATCTTTGTCATCAGCAAAGTTAGCTACAATACACTTGATCCATTGATCCAAGTGATTGATAAACTGTAAACAGGTGAAACTAACTCCAATGTGCCAACCGAAAAATGATCAAGTTATGCCTACAGAAGAAGGGTCCAGACCCGAAACGTCAGCTTTCCTGCTGCTGTGATGCTGCCTGGCCTGCTGTGTTCCTCCAGCTCTACACCTTGTTATCTCAGACTCCAGCATCGGCAGTTCCTACTATCTCTATGCCTACTCTTAGTTTCCTGTTAGCTAACCAATTTGCTGTTCATTTTGACATATTACCACCTCAGCATGACCTCCTATTATGTGAAGTAACATTTGATGTGACATCTTATCAAATGCCTTTTGGAAGTCCAAGTACACCATATCCATAGACTCTGACTTATTCACCTTGTTGTTACTTCCTCAAAAACTGTAATAAATTAGTCAAAAATGATTTCTCTTTCATGAATCCACATTGCTTCTAACTGATTATGTAATGATTTTCTAAATGTCCTCTATTAACTTCTTAATAGATGATAGCAATTTCCCTATGACAAATGTTAGGCTAACAAATCTCTTCCTCTCTTGTTTCTTGAATAAAGATGTCACATTTGCGATTGTCTAATCACCAGGAACCTTTCTAGGTACTCGGGAGTTTTGGAAGAAATTCAGTGAAGGAAAGTTTGAATAGCTTACCTTTTAGATAGCAGACTTCTCAAAGTCTAGTTTTCCTGAATAGGTATAAAGTTTGTATGACTGTAGCTGACAAACACAGGAGTAAATCTAATTGAATAGTTTTTTTCAATCACCTGACCTGGCATGAATGCCTTTATTTAAACTAATAATTCTGTGATCATTCAGAAAGATAATAATTAATAACAAGTTTTACCTTGTAATAACTTTCAGGATATCTGCATATCGTCTGTGAAAGAGAAGGATATTGAGGCAAAATTGACACAGGTGATGCAGACTTGGGTCGGTCAGACACTAAGTTTTTCAATGTTTAAGTCTCGAGGAGAACTATTGCTAAAAGGAGTAGAGACAGCAGAAATCATAACAATGATGGAAGATAGTTTAATGATTTTGAACTCTTTACTCAGCAACAGGTACAGGAACAAATGATAATAGAAATTTGCATGTATATATTGTCAAACTGCAATAATATAAGCAAATAGTTATTAGGAAGGCTGACATTTTTTTTCAAAGACATAGGTTTTCTGGATTACGAAAAATAGTTTCTGCAATATGTCATAATCTCAGATGTTGAGAGGATACAGGTGCCATTTATTTCCGGAATTGTCTGTCCCACTCAGTAAAATTTTATAATCTGACAAAATTCTCCTGCCAGTCCTTGCTTCCTCCTACAATACATCCTTTCTTTTGAAAATAGGCAATGAGCAGGTCTGAGGCATGTGCACATTTAAGTGAGGGTGCTCATCATTTATTTCCAAACCTTTTTAAAATGATTTATCTGTATTGTTAAACTGTCATTGTGGAATTTGAACTGATGTTGTGAAATGCTTTTGAAATATTTGTCATCATATAATCATTACACCAACATGCTACCAAAGATGAGCATTGCATTGCAATTATTTGCTAAGAATATTACCAGACATCCAAGTTCAAGTCTGCACAATAACCCAGTGTTGCCGTAGGCTTGTGCTGAATACTTTATTATAATAACAGTTACAAATAGAAGTGGAAACTATGGAATTGTCAGTGAGAAACCACACTCATTAATGAAGCAATTGATCATAGTTAAGCTGATAACGCTTCCATAAAACCATATGTGATAGAAGCAAAAGCAGGCCATTCAGCCCATAGAATCTGCTCTACCATTCAATAAGATCATAGCTGATCTGATCATCCTCAACTCCACCTTTCTGCTTTTCCTCATAACCCTTAATTCCTTACTGATTGACAAGTTTGTGTATCTCAGCCTTGAGTATATAGGTAATGACTCAGCCTACAGTGCTCTGCAGTAAAAAAAATTCTACAAATTCACAAACCTCTGAGAGGAGAACTTTCTCATCTCTGTCTTAAAAAGGTGACCCCTTATTCTGAGATTATGCCCTCTGATTCTAGACCCACCCACAAGGATAAATAATTTTTCCTCATCAGCCCTGTCAAGTGCTAAGAATCTTATATGTTTCGATATAGTTTCCCTCATTCTTCTATCCTGGTGGAACATTTCACCGGTGATATTGACGGTTGTAATAGCTGACTTCTGACAACCATGACTATTTTTCTGCACTTCAGGTATGATCTCAGCCATTGTGGGTTTTTCTGTTTTCTCCTCATTATCTTCAGTGTTTTTTTCTGAGTATAGATATTGGTGTTAACATCAAAAGGATATGTTATTATGTACAAATAAGAATCTCGCCATCATATAAGAAACTAGAGAGATCTGGAAGAGAAGTTCTAACCTTGTGTGAAGGGAACGTATGTAATGATCTATCTGTAAAAAGGAATTCTTCCATGTAAAGACCATGGACTTAAACAACACACTTTTGGGAGACAACGTCCCTAAACATAGAATATATTATGAAACATACTGGTGGAGAAAGTGCGAAGAGAATTAACAAATCCAGAAATTGAAAAGAACTTCAAAGCTAAGAAAAACAAATAATTTGAAGAGTCACAACATGTCAGAAACCTTACGAGAGCAGCAATAAACTAGAAAACTGACCAGAAAATTGACATCAGTGAAGCCATGAGAAAGAAAATTCCCAGAACTCAAAGAAGCATGAAATCTTAACCTATAAGACCATAAGAAATAGGAACAGGTGTGGGCCATTCAGCCCCTCGAGCCCGCTCCACCATTCAAAAGGATCATGGCTGATCTAACACTCCTCATGTCCACTGTCTTGCCCATTCCCCAAACTCTTGATTCCCCTGATGATCAACGATCCATCTGTCTCAACCCTAAATATATAAACTGACTAAAAATCATTGACCCCCGCAGTGATCCAAGATCAAGGAGCCCTCACTGAACCGGCCACAAGACGCCCCAACCCAGAATGCTCAAGGCTGAAACTGGTGCCAAGGACCCGCTCGGGAGCACACACTTACCTCTTGAGCAGCAGACTTCCCTCACCGATGTCTGAGATCATCTAAGAGCAGCCACCTACCCAGGAAACATGGAAGGTGCACTGGACTTCAAGCGAGACTGAAACTTTGGGGTTTCAAGTCCTCCCTCTCCAGCATACTGCTGGCAAACATCCAATCCATTGAGAACAAAATGGATGAACTTAAAGCTAGATCCATTTTCCAAAGGAAATTGAGAGACTGCTGTGTGCTCTGTTTTACAGGTACATGGCTCACTCCTGCTACACCTGACTGTGCCTTATAAACTGAGGGTTTCTCTTTTCAATGAACAGACCACTCGGTGCCCTGGGACAAGGCAAGGGGTGGTGGGATCTGCTTCCTAATTAACACATCCTGGTGCTCAGACATGATGACCCAGGCAAGTTACTGCTCCCTGGACCTAGAATATCTTACAGTACAGTGCCACCTTACTTCCTGCCATGCGAATTCACCTCCGCTATCCTGACAGTGGTGTACATCCCACCCCATGAGGAAGCAGAGAATGCTTTTGATGAAGTATACTACACTACAGACAGTCTTCTGACAGCAAACCCTGAGGCCTTGTTCATCATGGCCAGTGACTTCAACCAGGCCAACTTTAAGAATGGCCTCCCAAAATAGCATAAACATGCCTCTTGTCCCAGCAGAGGTCGATCATTACTATACAACCTTCAAAGATGCCTACCACTCCATTCCCCATTTGCATTTTGGAAAATCAGATCACAACACTAAGTTCCTCCTCCCAGCTTACAAGTAGAAATTGAAACGTGAGGACCCAGTACAGAAAGTGGTGCAGTTCTGGCCTGAGGCAGTGGAAGGACTTCTACATGACTGCTTAGAGTCGGTGTACTGGTCCATATTCGAGAACACAGCAGCCAACCTAAACAAGTATGCCACTATCGTTACAAACTTCATTGGTTAGTGTGTAGAAAATTGGGTACCGAAGAAGTTAATTTAAATGTTCCCCAACCAGAGATCATAAATGAATCAGGATATCCGGTCCTTAGTGAAGTCCAGGTCTGAGGTGTACAAGTCAGGCAACCCTGACCTATACAGGAAATCCAGGTACAACCTTCGTAGAGCCATCTGAGACACCAAGAGGCAATACAAAAATAAGCTTGAGACCTGGACTAACCACATGGACACTCATTATTTGTGGCAAGGCTAACACAACATAACAAACTACAAAGCAAAGTCGAACAGAGTCACAGGCAACAGTACATCCCTATTCGACGAGTTCAATGCATTCTATGCTCGCTTTGAACAGAAGGTCAGTGAAATTATGTCACCTATTCCAATGGCCTCAGATTCAACTGTACCTATGGTCACCGCCACAGATGTTTGTTCAGCCATTTTGAAAGTGAACCTGAGAAAGGCAACTGGCCCAGATGGAGTCTCTGGCCGTGCACTCAGATCTTGTGTGGACCAGCTGGTGGGAGTATTTACAGACATCTTTGACCTCGACTTCCTATGATCTGAAGTCCCCACCTCCTTCAAGAATGTCAGCCTCATCCTATGCCAAAGAAAAATCATTAAGCGTGCCTCAATGACTACAACTCGGTGCTCTGACCTCCGAAATTATGTAGGGCTTCGAGAGGTTAGTCATGGCTCACACCAACTCCAGCCAACCAAAGTGCCTGGATCCATTGCAGTTCATCTACCACCGCAACAGGTCCACAGCCAATGCAATTTCCTTGGCTCTACACTTATCCCTAGAACATTTAGATAATGAGGATACTTACGTCAGGCTCCTACTTATTTACTACAGTTTCACCTACAACACCATAAATCCAAAGATTAAACTCTGAGACCTACGTCTCAGCTAGCCCCTCTGTGACTAGGTCCTCAACTTCCTGACCCATAAACCAGATCAGTACGAATAGATGACAAAACCTCATCCACCATAACCATCAACACCAGTGCCCCCCAAGGCTGCATACTCAGCCCCTACTATACTCCTTACACACTTTGTGGTCAAATTCCGCCCAACTCCATTTACAAGTTTGCTGACGACACCACCATTGTTGGCCATGTCTCAAACAATGACATGACAGAATAGGGGAAAGAGATTGAGTGCTTAGCGGTTTGGTGCAAAGACAACAATCTCTCTATCAACATCAACAAATGAAGGACTAAGTCATTGACTTCAGGAAATGGAGTGGAGGGCATGTCCCTATCAACATCAATGGTGCTGAGGTGGAGATGGCGCAGAGTGTCAAGTTGCTTGGGAGTGCTGATCACCAACAGTCTGTTCTGGTCCACCTACCTGGACACAATGGTCAATAAAGCACAACAATATTTCTACTTCCTCAGGAAGCTAAGAAAATTCGGCATGTCCGCAAGGACTCTTACCAATTTTTATAGATGCACCATAGAAAACATCCGATCTGGATGCAGTGTGGTATGGCAGCTGCTCTTCCCAAAATCGAAAGAAACTACAGAGAGTTGTGAACACAGCCCATTCCATCACGCAAACCGACCTTCCATCCATTGACTCGATCTATACTTCCTGCTGCCTTGGGAAAGCAACTAACATAATCAAAGATGCTTCCCCTGATGAAAGGACAGTGCTCAGAAAGCTTGTGGCTTCAAATAAACCTGTTGGACTATAATCTGGTGTAGTGGGACTTCTGACGCTATCCACCCCAGTCCAACACCGGCACCTCCACTTCATGCCTTCCCACCCCAGTTATTCTCTTTTCCACCCTCTTCTGTTAAGCAGAAGTTATAAAAGTTTGAATACATTTATGAATAGATAATAGGAACATAAGAACCACGAACAGGAGTAGGCCATCTGGCCCTTCGAGTCTCCTCTGCCATTCAATAAAATCATGGCTGATCTTTTCATGGCCTCAGTTCCACTTATTTACTCTCTAACCATTATCCTTAATTCCTTTACTATTAAAAAAGTTATCTATCTTAGCTTCAAAAATATTCAATGAGGAAGTCTCAACTACTTCACTGGGCAGTGAATTCCACAGTTTCACAACTCTTTGGGTGAGGAAGTTCCTCCTCCATTCAGTCCTAAATCTGGTCCCCCCAATTTTGAGACTGCGTCCTCTTGTTCTAGTTTCACCCTCCAGTGGAAACAACCTGCCTGCTTATATCTTATCTATTCCCTCCACAATGCTATATGTTTCTATAAGATCCCCCCTCATTCTTCTAATTTCCAATGAATATAATTCCTATGTATTTGCCCTCTCCTCATACGCCAACCCTCTTAACTCTGGAACCAACCCAGTGAATCTCCTCTGCACGCACCACCCCCCCCCCACCCCGTCCCACCCCACAGTGCCAGTACATCCTTTCTCAAGTAAGGGGACCAAAACTGCATGCAGTACTCCAGGTGTGGCCTCACCAGCTGCGACATAAACTCCAGATTTTAAACTCAATCTCTCTAGCAATGAATGACAAAATTCCATTTGCCTCCTTAATTACCTGTTATACCTCCGAAACCAACCTTCTGCGATTCATGCACAAGGACACCCAGGTCCCTCTGCACAGCAGCATGCTGCAATTTTTTACTGTTCAAGTAATAGTTCCTTATACTGTTATTCCTACCAAAATGAATGACTTCATATTTATCAACATTGAATTCCATCCGCCAGACCTTTGTCCACTTACTTAAACTATCTATACTCATCTGCAAACTTTGATCTACCACTCATCTTAGTGTCATCCGCAAACTTTGACACACTATACGTTGTTCCCAACTCCAAATCATTTATGTAAATTATAAACAATTCCGGCCCCAGCACTGATCCCGGAAGCGCACCACTAGTCACTGTCTGCAATCAGAAAAGCATTCATTCATTCCCACTCTTTGCTTCCTGTTAGTTAACCAATCCTCTCTCCATGCTAATACGTTACCTGTAACTCCTTGCATGTTTATCTTATGCAGCAGCCTTTTGTGCGGCACCTTGTCAAAAGTCTTTTGGAAATCTGGATACACCACATCTACTGAATCCCTGTTGTCCACCACACTCATCATGTCTTCATAGAATTCCAGTAAATTAGTCAAGCATGACCTGCCTTTCATGAACCCATGCTGCATCCACCCAATGGGACAATTTCTATCTAGATGTCTTGCTATTTCTTCTTTGATGGTAGATTCAAGCATTTTCCCCACTACAGAAAGTAAGCTAACCGGCATATAATTCCCCATCTTTTGTCCACCTCCTTTTGTGAATGGTGGTGTCACATTGGCTGTTTTCCAATCTGCTAGAACTGCCCCAGAGTCCAGCAAGATTCAAGAACAGCTTCTCTGTGGCTGCAACACTGTATTCTGCACTCTGGTCTGCTACCCTGATGCACTTTTTTTGGTACTACCTGTATAGCACACAAAACAGCACTTTTCATTGTGTCTCGGTACAGGTGACAACAGTGAATCAATTAATCAATCAATCAATAAAAAGGATTCTGCTGTCTATGGCAAGGTGTTCCAAAGACTGACAACCTGTTGAGAGAAGAAATTCCTCCTTACCTCAGTCTTAAATTGGTGCCTCTTTGTCCTGAGATTATGCCCTTTGGACCTAGGCTCTCACATGAGGAGAAAAATCCTCTCAGCCTTTATTATTTCAAGCCCCTTAAGAATTATGCGTGTTTCAATGAAATCACCTCTCATTTTTCTTATGTCCAGTGAGTAAAGTCCTAACCTATTTAGCTTTTGCTCATAAGACATTTTCTCCATACCAGTGATCATCCTAGTGAACCTTACCTGAACTGTCTTCGATGAAAAAATATCTCCCCTAAAGAGAGGGACCAAAGCTGCTCACAATACTCCAGATTTGTAACACTGTAATCTGCACTCTGTTCTGCTACCCTGATGCACTTTGTATGGTGTGATCTGCCTATATAGCCTGCCAAAACAACACGCTTCACTGTGTCTCAGTATTTGTGACAACAGTACATAAATCAAAATCTCCAGTACCTTGTGTGGTCCCAGTAAGACTTTCCTACAACCTATGACACCCAGAAATATTGCAAGTAATGGAGAACCAAACCAGGCCCAAATTTCTTTAAAGTTTACATAACATATAGACAGGATGGTTAAGAAAGCATTTAGCATGCTTGCCTTCACTGCCCAGACCTTTGAATATAGGAGGTGGGACATTATGTTTAGGTTGCACAGGACATTGGTGAGGCTTTTTCAGGAGTACTGTGTCCAGTCGTGGTCTCCCTGTTATAGGAAGGATATTATTAAACTGGACAGGGTTCAGAAGAGATTTACCAAGATGTTGCCAGGAATGGAGGGTTTGAGTTATAAGAAGAGGCTGCATAGGCTGGGATGTTTTTCACTGGAGCATAAAAGGTTGAAAGGTGACCTTATAAAAGTTTATGAAATAATGAGGGGTAGAAATAAGGTGAATGGCAGGTGCTTTGTCTCTAAGGTAGGGAATTTCAAGACTCAAGATGAGAGGAGAAAGATTTAAAAAAGACATGGGCAATTTTTTTTACACAGAGAATGGTTTGTGTGTGAAATGAACTTCCAGAGAAAATGGTGGATGCGGGTTCAGTTCCAAGGTTTAAAAGAAATCCACATAAGTACATGAATAAGTAATTTCTGGAGGGATATGGGCCAAGCGCAGGCAGGTGGGACTAGTTTAGTTTAGGATTATGTTCAGCATGGACTGGTTGAACCAAAGGGTCTGTTTCTATGCTGTGTGACTCTGTGACTCAGTAATTGGAAGGAAAGGACAGATGCACATCAATGGGTTTAACCTCAGAAGTATACATCAGGTGATTAAATGATAATGTCAGAGTCAGATGAGAAGGTAGAATCATCTGGTAGAGACCGGAAGTACAAACATTGTGTGTAAAGAATGCATGTAAAAATCTAGCTGTAAATAAAGAATTCATGCATAAAAGACCATGGTCTCAAGCAACTTGTTTTTGGCAGACAAAACAATGCCAAACACAGAAAATGCAACTAAACATTGAGGCTTGTTTGTGTTGTCCTTCAATGTGTGGTTGACTGCCAAAATTTTATGTTCATCTTTGACTTAGCTCCATGGATGACAAGGTCCCACATAGGAGACTAATAAAGAAGGTAAAAGCTCATGGAATCCAGGGTAACGTGGCAAGTTACATCCAAAATTAGCTTAGAAGTAGGAGACAGAGTGTGGTAGTAGAAGGCTGTCAGTGTGACTGGAAGCCAGTGTGTGCAATGTAGTGATACTTGCCCTGGTCAATTGTGGCACAGATTATAAGAGTAGGCTTGTTATGTTGGAGCTATGCAGAATTTTGGTCATCACCCCATAGGAAGGATGTGATTGCACTGGAGGGGGTTTAGAGGCAATTCTTAGAATCCCTACAGTGTGGAAAGAGGTATTTGGCCCATCAAATCTGCACCAACTCTCCAAAGAGCATTCCATTAAGGCCCCCACTCTATCTCCATTATCCCAATTTTGCAGGGTCAATCCACCTAACCTATACATGTTTGGACTGTGGGAGGAAACCATTGCAGACACAAGGAAAATGTCCAAACTGCATACAGTCACCCAAGACTGGAATTGAATCCAGATCCTTGGCGCTGTGAGGTAACAGGGCTAGCCACTGTGCCATCAAGCCACCCAGTTCACCAGGCTGTTGCCTGGGATACAGCAGTTTAGCTATAAGGAAACAGAAACAGAAATTGCTGGAAAAGTTCAACAGATCTGGCAGTATCTGTGGAGAGAGATCAGAGTTAATGTTTCGGGTCAAGTGACCCTTCCTGAGTTCTGAGGAAGGGTCACTCGACCTGAAACATTACCTGTGATTTCTCTCCATAGATGCTGCCAGACCTGCTGAGCTTTTCTAGCAATTTCTGTTTTTGTTTCTGATTTACAGCATCCACAGTTCATTAAGTTTTTATTTAGCTATAAGGAGAGGCTGGATAGGCTCTGGTTGTTTTCTTTAGAGCAAAGAGGGTCGAGGTACTTAATTGAGGTATATAAGATAATGAGCATAGAAAGGTGGATAGAAGGCAGCTGTTCCCCTTAGTTGAAGAGACAAAAACAAGGGGACATAATTTTCAGGTGAAAGGCAGGAGGTTTAGAGGGGAGTTGAGGAAATTGTTCTTCACCCAGACAGTGGTGGGAATCCACAATGCACTGTCTGGGAGGGTAGTTGGGGCAGGAAACCTTACAACTTTTAAAAAGCACTTGGATGAGTACTTGAAATGCTATAACTTTCAAGGCTATGGGCCATGTGCTGGAAAGTGGGACTAATGTAGTTTTATACTAGCTTTTAGTCAGTGCAGACTCAATGGGCCAAAGGACCACTTCTGTATTGTATGATTCTGTGTTTGAATTTCTCCAAACAATGTTAAAATCTCAGTTTCTAAGTTGCCACAATACTGTAATATTCCTAAGAAAAGTCACAAATTATACCTTCTGTGACAGTGGCTGATGAAAGATCACTGGCCTGAAATATTAACCTGGATCTTGGCTTTGACATTTCACCCTCAAGAGTTGCCAGGCAATCAAGTGGCCAGCAACTCTTCAGTCCCTGACATTGCCAACATAAGGTGTGGTCCTGCTACTTTGCAGGAAATCCAGAGAAAAACATTCTCTCACTGAACGGGCTTAGCTAAGTTTCAAGCATTAGTGGTCAGTGGACCTTCAGTGGCGATTAATTGATCATTTCAGTGCCTCAATTTGTTGATGGTGGAGCAGGCCTTCAGACAGCTTCCCTGTTGCTCATAAAATTGAAGTATTGGCAAGTGGGGATTGTTCTAATGGCCAGCTGCCTGGGATGAGGGATCAAATTATTAATAATGCTCATTTTCTATGGATACTGCCTGACCTGCCAAGCATTTCTGGCAATTCCTATTTCAATTTCAGATTTCAAATGGCTGCGGTATTTAAAAATTATTATTTGTGCCTGACCCATAGTTCCTCAACAGGAGCTGTCTACAAAATGCAACTAAATGCCCTCAGTCAATAAAATCTTCAAAGTGGGTGGCTACAACTCACTAGCATTGCGCTGATTTCTGACATTGTCTTCCCCTGCAGGTATAACACTTATTATAAGAAGGATATTCAGCTCTGGGTGCATAATCTGACAACATGCACAACCATAATAGAACAGTGGCTTTTAGTTCAAAATCTGTGGATTTATCTTGAGGCTGTCTTTGTTGGAGGAGATATTGCTAAACAACTGCCACAGGTAACAATATTAACTTGAATAAAGAAGCTAGCTTCATGTTTCTTGGCCATTGTTACATTTCTGATTCTTTTATGCAAACTCAACAATCTCACACACAGGACTAGTAAAGTACAAGTAGGTTTATCTAAAATTCCAGTTTTCAAACATGGCTGAGCATATACATGGGGATTCAGCAACTTCAATTGACAGTTTCTAGTCAACTTGATAAGAGATGCTATGACATACCTTTGAAGACAGTTGGACTTGAACCCAGGCATTGTCGCTTATAACAAGGAAAACTATCACTACACCACAAGCACCCAGAGCAACTGTGACAGGTATTTTGTAATTAACCTGTCAAAGGTGCTATGACACAATTCTGGAGCAGGTGGAACATGAACTGGCTCAGAGGTAGCAACAGCAGTTTTTTTTTTTGCTTTTATTTTATCCAGAAATGCTTTTATACACAACTGAACAATTTTTTTTCTTGCTATCACCAAATCACCTGTGGTATTTTTTCATCTAATAACCACCACAAGTGAATCACCCATGCTTTCCAATTCAGCAACAGTTATTGATATTTTCCAGTCAGCTCATTCAGCGATGTTATTACACACCTCTGGAGCAGGTAGGACTAACCCATGCTGCCTGGCTCAGAGGTAGGAACATTACCATCACACCACAACAGTCCTAACTCAGCAACAGTTATATATTATGAACAACACTAAGTAACAGATAGATACATAGTGCTTTGCATCCTCACTTGCATAATTTCTTAACATTCTATCACAAAACCACTTTACTTTCCAAGATAAGATTACATGCATTTGAGGGTATTGTTACATTCAAATGGAGCAATTGCAAAACCAAATTACACAAAAGATAAATCTTTGTTGTCATTTAAGAGATTAAGCATTTGTATGGCTATATAAGCCTTACTAATCATCACAGATCATTTAAAGGTATAACTTTCCTGAGATCTAGATATATCACTTAGGTGTCCTTGACTTGTAAGTGCATTGACAAACTGTGCATTATCAAAGTGTTTCAGAGATAGTAGGAACTGCAGATGCTGGAGAATCTGAGATAACAAGGTGTAGAGCTGGA